CTGTCCACTTACTGAAGGATTTTACCAAATGGGACGTCCTGGTTCTCCACTCTTGCTTCAGATAATCTAAAGAAGTTGGTCTTCCGAGAAGGGAGGGCCTGCTGGTTGTCGAAATGTATGTAACCTGTGACACGTTTTAACACAACACAACCATTTAATATTCATCACAATCCAAACGGTACATTTTATTAGAAAGCTGTGCAAAGTCTGTAAATGCTGCATACTGTATTGATCTTGTGAGTGGCTTTGCGGGGCTGAAGTTCCACAGTGAGGCATCGCGAGACATAAAGACTGAAATTGCCGTGTTTAAGACTCCAAAAAGGAAATTTAAAAAATGAAAGGCCTAAAGCCATGTTTTTGGCATAGAAACCAAAAGACAGAGACAGTAGATCCTCAAGGCCATAAAAGATATAAATGGCAACCGCAAATGCTGTTATTTCCTAAAGCTCTCTTGCAATATGTCACAGTTTACAACCCACATAAAAGGATGTCTCTTAATACAAAAGTTCCAGCTGAACCCAGAAATACATTTTACACCTTTAATCACCTGAGGTGATTTACAACCAAACTCTTAAAACACGCAGATTTCTTCCCTCTTGTTTTGGTAACAATGGGTGTATTTATGTGGGTACTCTGGCACTGCACAACTCAATAAGTACATCTCTGCGGAAATATGGTTCCAATGTTGACTCAGCCACAGCAGTTGAGTTTATCCCTGGTGCTAAGCCACAAATGGTTCACAAATCACAGTGCTTGGATTCACATATTACACTAAGCCAGCAGTCTTCAAAGTTTGCAGTACCATGACACTAAAAACAATTTGTGTGTTTTCCCCCCACTTCAAATACCCAACAAAAGTTTCTTTGCTGGTAGAGTTAGCTAAGAAATAAATCTGACAGTGATAATGTCAATATATCAATGCAGGTGACAAACATTGTCCACTAGGACTAAGTCCAAAACAAGCTTTTATAGCATGCTACTCTGCCTTTCCACGCTGATTAACTTTTGTTTAAGTTGTGACCCTCTTCTATGTGGTTTAAGGCCCTTTATCTCATCAGCTCTGAGTTTAAGAACTAAGCTAAAACCACCAAGGCTCTCCAACAGTGGTGAAATTCAAATTTTTTTACTACCAGTTCTGTGGGTGTGGCTTGGTGGGCTTGGTGTGGTGTGGCTTGGTGGGCATGGCAGCGGAAGGATACTGCAAAATCCCCATTCCCTCCCCACTCCTGGGGGAAGGATATTGCAAAATTTCCATTCCCACCCCACTCTGGGACCAGCCAGAGGTGGTATTTGCCGGTTCTCCGAACTATTCAAAATTTCCGCTACCAGTTCTCCAGAACCTGTCAGAACCTGCTGGATTTCACCTCTGGTGCCATCCTTGAGAGAAAACTAAAATTCCACATTTCCTTCCCCCAAAAAAACATGTCCTGGTAAATTAATCTGGCAAGTTAATTAAAATCTTCTTACTGAAATGAATCGCTTTCAGAGTTAGCTTGCAATCTTCTTTAAGCCAGAATGTGAAACTGGAAACTGAACATTGCTGAACAGATTGGATAGTGACTTCTGTGAGAGATATGAGGTTCTGTCCTGGGTAGGGCATTGTAGAAGACCTCCAAGCTCTTCTGTATGGATCTATGAATTTGTAGCAAGAGCAGAGGGAAAGAAGGAAGGGTTCAACGTCCCTTCCAAGCTTTCAAAACAACCCCACATTTCTGCCTGCTTAGCATTCAAGAATGAGAATTTGTACATAAGAGGAGGGGTGGGATTCTCTTGGTTCGGACCGGTTCGGGCAAACCGGTAGCTCCGACGATCAGCTAGGAGCGAACCGATTCGCTCCGACAATCAGCTGAGTCCACCCACCTGCCCCTGCGCTTTACTTACCTATATCTTCGCAGCTGATTAGCGTGGCAGAGCAGATTGCCACACCTCAGCTGTTTTAACTCCCTAGCACTAATGCGGAAGGTGATTTTTCGTTCAATTGCGCACGAACGCATAGTACACGTAGCACTTACACCTGAGTGAAGCGCACGATCACCGAACCGGTTGTTAAAACTGGTAGGATCTCACCACTGTGTAATAGTAATACAAGTCCTACAGTACTTGTATGTCAAATTGATACAATGCTTTAGAGTGGGACAATCTCGAGCAGAGATTGAGGAAAAAATAATTAAATCTCTTCCTCCTTTTGGAAAGAATCAGATAATCAGAAACATTGCACAAATGATCTCTTTACAACTGCTATCGGAGCGCACACAGCCACACACACACCCACGGCAATTTAACTTCTACAAGAGATTCCTGGTGACAATTTTACATGATGGAAATAAAAACTGCCTCAAATTTTATATCTAGGCAATGTCTATTAATGCCAGATAGTAATTTGTACTTTTTAATCTTTAACAACAATAAACAGCAGAAAGGGCTTCTTCTTTTTTCTTTTTCTTTTTTAACGAAAATTGTTAAAGGTTTTTATCCTAAATCATGTAGCTAAATTTAACAATTATTATGGAAGCACAAAACACTATATTAAGAGAGAGTTATCAGTGTTCGTTGTTGGGAGATAAATTTAAATTCCGATTTTCAACTCTTATCTCAACAAAAGAAAGAATATGTCACAGACAGAATCTTTTATTATTGTGCAATAAAAAAAGAAGAAGATAAGAACCAACGAACCTTTCAAATTGAACCGGGTTTTCCTGAAAGCCGTAATGGAACTGGCTATTTTTCTGGGCCCTGGATTAGAGTAGTTGGGGCCCCTGTCAGATTTATTTGAGGATGGGGGTATGGTTAGACAGATTTGCCATCCAAGTTCCTGTTCTCTTTTACGGTTTTATTGAATTGTACTTTCTATTTTGGAGTCAGGAGGTGCTTAGATTCAATAATTTAAATTAATTTAACCCGGTCTCTCTACAGATGAGCATTAACAAAGTTAGTAAGGATTGATGGGGCACTCAAGTCTCTAAGACAGCTCCTATAAACATCAATGCCATCAGGTTGATCTAATAATAATGAAGAAGAACCAAATAACATCTAAGCGAGTTCGGACATTCAAACGTTCTATAATAGGGGTGTCAAACTCAATTTCATTGAGGGCCGCATCAGGGTTATGTCTGACCTCGGGGGGGCTGGGGTGGGGGGGCCCAGCTCACCGTCACTCATGTCAGGGGTGCCTTTGGTGGCCTGAGCGCTCTGTCAGAGAAAATGGGCTCGCGAGCTCCATTTTCGGCTGCAATGGCCTCCTGCAAGACTCTGTCAGCAAAAATGGAGCTCGGGAGCACCCTCCTGAGCTCCGTTTTCACTGGCAGAGGCACCGCGGGCCAGTCCTTCACTGTTTACAGGGTGGCCCCGCGGGCCAGATCTTAGCACCCCGTGGGCCAGATCTGGCCTGCAGACCTTGAGTTTGACACCCCTGTTCTATAACTTTGTGGCCAACTGCTCGGTATGAAAACATTAACGATGTGTGTTATTGCAATGACAAAATAGGCTTACCAACACAAGCTGAACCTACTGCTTAAGCAGCAGGAAGAAAATGCTGGTTGCAGGTAGCCTTGTGGATGCAGTATCAATCCTGCCCTTGACAAAGTGTAGTTCAATCATCAGCATCGTGACAAATTTTAATACTTAAAAAGATTCTCTCTTCTGAAGAATGGTTAACTGAATTGTAGGAGTAGGCCTCTCACGGTGTTTGGAGTAGCATTATACAGGTAGTCCTTGACTTACAACGGTTCATTTAGTGATCGTTCGAATTTACAACGGCATTGAAAAAACGACCTATGACCATTTTTCACACTTACGACCGTTTTTACGGTCCCCATGGTCGTGTGACCAAAATTCAGGCGCTTGGGCACTGACTCACATTTATGACCATTGTGGTGGGGTCATGTGATCCCCTTTTGGGACCTTCTGACAAGAAAAGTCAATGGGAAAACCAGATTCACTTAACAACCGTGTGGCTAATTTAACGACTGCAGCAATTCACTCCAAACAACTGTGGCAAGAAAGCCACGTACAATGGAGCAAAAATTCACTTAACAAATGTCTCACTTAGCAACAGAAATTTTGGGCTGAATTGCGGTCGTAACCTGAGGACTACCTGTATAGAAACTTAATTCTTATTGAAAACCATTTCAATTATTATGCACAGAAATAGATGTTCTGAGCTCCTCCTAAATTGTTACAAAGAAGGTCCCAGCCTCAGATCCTGCTGCAACAGTTTAGTGCTCATCCCTTCTGAAACTTACCAAGAAGTCCCTTAAAAAATTCTGGGTGACTTGTGAAAGCATCCTGCAAAAGATGCTACTTCTATTCTGGAAGTCAACCAAGGAGAAGACAAAGAAGACATAAAAACCTTATAAGAATAAAGATTAGAAAGGATCCGTGTAATATTCATTCATTCATTCTACAGCAAACTTTGATTTGATTTGATTTCACTGCAGGCAACATGCTTGAGATGGGTGCTAAAGGTGGGCAGATATCACACAATAACGTAGAAAACAAATTCTTCCCCATTTGGGTATATTAAAACCCAATGTGCATATTGAAAGTACATTAGATTAAACTTGACACATTTAAATTCTACTTAGGCTTAAGCACTTTGGTTGACATTATCTTGCTATAAAGAAACATGGCAAGATCTAGATCAGGGGTATCCAACTTTGGCAACTTTAATACTTGTGGACTTCAACTCCCAGAATTCCCCAGGCTGGAATTCTGGCTGGCTGGTGAATTCTAGAAGTTGAAGTTTACAAATCTTAAAGTTGGCAAGGTTGGACACCGATGATCTAGGTCAGTGGTCACCAACCTTTTTATCGCCGCGGCCCGCTGAGCGCGCGCAGGGGTGGGGGCACGGCCCAGGAGCTTTTGCGCACGGCCCATTGCGCACGGCCCAGGAGCCTTTGCGCTGCAGCGTTCATGTCCCCCGGCCGCTGCGCGGCCCGGTGCCAGGTACTCCACGGCCCGGCACCGGTCCGCGGACCGGGGGTTGGGGACCACTGATCTAGGTTATGTCTGAACTGGTAACAAGCTATACGGAAACATTGCTCATCTTGGGAGAAAATTTAAACTCAAGATCTTAATGATTTGACCCTTTGTTTAAAATACCGTAACTATCCTCCAGAAAAACCATCACTCACTGCCATCCTTAGACCAACTGCTTTGGTTAGTAAACCATAATTGTTTGGCTTAGCATGATACAAGAACTCAGTTGTGGGTTATTAACAAAACATGGCTTAGTGTGATATGTGAGCCAGGTCGGATAGACTCATAAGAAAATGGCAATGTTGCAATAAAAATAATGCTCCAATGTTCTACAGAGACAAAGCTACAGATCCTAAGTAGCATCATAGTCATAAAACAATCAAAGATTGATGTTACCGCATAGCATTTGCTTGGCCACTCAATTCCAATGATTGCATAATCATTTAAGAACAAAACAATACATAGAAAGGTCAAAAGAAAACACATTTCTAGAAACATAATAAATAACTTTTCAAAAGGTAATGATATGGGTGTTTTCAAAGTTAACAAAGCGAACCAAAAAAATAAAATAAAACCCATAAGATAACACCTTAAATATTTGTGAGCTTATTAATGGTCAGCATGATCAAAATAAATACAAAAATATACAGATTAGTAGCAGCACACGTACAAAAAAAAAAATCAATCTACTGGCCAGTGAGACAACTTTGATAAATATTTCGTTTCCTTTGTTTCCCCTTTCCAATTGTCATCTCTTAGGGTTTATAATCATTCATTAAGTCTACAAACTTCCGAACAGGCTGAAGATTTACACCAAAAAGATACCAATCCTTTACCTTCAAGAGCTGATGTGGAGTCCTTGATGTTCTCTGAATGTGTTTTCTTGCATCATCAGTGCTAGAAGGGTTTGCTCTCAGTTGATGTTAGTACTGATGATGATATCTCGTTGGGTAATGAAAGGTCTGCAAGAAATCCTGCGAGCTCAGAGAGACCCAAGGATTCCACAGTTCACCCTGAGCTAAAGATATTCTCTTCTATGGTAAGAGCTAATATGTCCTTCATACTCCATTTGGATTTTTGATAGATCTGTACTGTCCTCAGTGAAATCATCAGCTGAGTTATAGGACAAACAATAATTAGGCACTCCTCCATCTCAACCTGTCTTAAGTATCTCAGGTTTTTTTTTATTTCTTTGCATGGATATGTCCTTTACCTTCAAATCTAGTCTTTTCTCCCACTTATAAATGAAACCTCTAATAGTAGGATTGAACCTAGCAAAGGATTAAATCCTTGTTAGTGCCTTCAGAAGTGCCGAGTTTACGACTCTCGTATGTGGTAGTGGCAGTGGTGGGATTCAAATAATTTAACAACTGGTTCTCTGCCCTAATGACCGGCTGGGTGGGTGTGGCCATGTTGGGTGCGGCCAAGGGGTGTGACAGGCAGCACTCGCCCTCCTGCAACCCCTGGGAGCAAAAATAGGCCGTGGGGGGCACACTGCCCCCCAGTGCCCCGTTTTGGGTCTAGTAGGCCTCCCTGCAGCCTCCTGGGAACAAAAACGGACCACAGGGGAACTTCTGGAATGGGAGGGGCGGGAAGGGGAGGGGCCAGTCAGCAATTAAACATCCGGTTCCGCCGAAGTGGTGCGAACCGGTTGAATCCCACCACTTGGTAGTGGAATTATAGGAACTGAAGTCCAACCCACCTGGATCGCATAGGGCTGGGGTGGAGAACCGTAGCATCCATCTCTAAAGACTAATTTTAGGAGAACTGGAAAGGCAACTTTCCCAAAGCTTAAAACTCAGAAGGTTACAAATGAAATGTTAAAAACAAAAAGGTACCCATTGCATCACGTTGGTCTTGTGGTGGAATGCTGCATTGTTGTCGCCCGAACACCACGCGAGCATATTAAAAAAGAGAGAAAGAACACCAATTCCTTTTAACAGTTAAGATTGCCAGGAAATATGATTCCTGCAAGCATGCCCAAGATAGGAGTTGGTGACCATCTCTACATGGTCAACCTCCAGAGAAAGACGGAGACTTCTAATGAGAGCAGCTTCACTTGATTTGGGTTAGAAGTTCACAAAGACAGCATACATATTCATGCATAGTACCTATGCATTTGTCTAGGTAGCAAACTATGGCGGCTTTATGACCTCTGGACTTCAACTCCCAGAATTCTTGAGCCAGGAATTCTGGGAGTTGAAGTCTGAAGGTGATATAAAGGAGCCATAGCTGCCCATTCCGGTCTAAGATGTGCTTTAAAGGGAGCACTTGCGTCAGAAAGCAGAATTCTAGAGATCACTAGATCTAACTGAAACAATACAGCACAGTACAAAGAAAAAGAATTCATTTTCAGATTTTTGTTCTCAAATCAAGAATGCCAGGACTGATTGTGACTGTTTTGCCCCAAAATGGGAAGCATTAAAAAAAAAAAAAAGACCAATTAATGGTAGAAAGTATGAGGATGGGAAAAGACACCAGCTATTTCAAAATAATTTGAGAACGGCTTTTCCTATTTCGTTCAAAGTACGCAAGTCAACATCACCTTGGAGGCAATTCCAACAGATAAAAAAAAAAGCCCCAATTTAGGGAAAGGAAATTCTCTCATTCATTCTAACGTACTGCACCCAAGCATACTTGAATTAGGTTTCGAACCCAGCACTGGATCTTCCCTCCCCAATAATAAAAAAGTATTATTATTTTGCAAGGAGTTACAGCAACTCGAGTATGTAGAGCAGGGGTTTCAAGCTCGATTTCATTGAGGGCCGCATCAGGATTGTGTTTGACCTCGGGGTGGGTGGGTGTGGGTGTGGCCAGGGTGGGCGTGGCCAGCTTTACATCACTAGTGTCGGGGGTGCCTGTGGTGGCCTTAGTGCTCTGCCAGAAAAAACGGGCTCCTGAGCTCCGTTTTTGGCTGCAACGGCCTCCTGCAACCCTCTGCCAGCAAAAACGGAGCTCAGGAGGGCCACGTGCGGCCCTTCCAAGCTCCGTTTTCGCTGGCCGAAACACCGCGGGACGCTCCTTCACTGTTTCCAGGGCGGCCCCGTGGGCCAGATCTAAGCCCCCCCCCTGTGGGCCAGATCTAACCTGCGGCCCTTGAGTTTGACACCCCTGATGTAGAGGAACCGGATGCTACCGAGTTGAAGCCGGAAGCCTTTTCCAGTGCAGCGCCTGTCTTGAAAATGCTTCAGACCTCACCAGGGCATAGCATCCGTTTGCTATTTATTAAAACAACGCATCATTCGCTTGGCTTCTGGATGGGCCTTTAAAAAAAGAAAAAGACATTGATTTAAAAAGAATTTAAATCCCGAGACTCTCTCTCTCTTTCCAAGACTCACTCAAGGGGTCAGTCAGTGCACTACATTTTTCCTTCCCCTCCCCCCGCTTACTTTTTTAATAGCAGCTGAGTCCCTACTGGTTCAATTCGCCCAGTTCTTATCACTCTGCCTAGCCACAGAGGCCTCTCCTGTCTCTACTCCCCTACCCCTACCAAACTGCTCTACAACTAGAGATTGTGGGATTTCACCAGGGAGGAGGCAGGGGTGGTATTCACTTACCTTCGCTACCGGTTTGCACATGAGAGCGTCTGCGCTCGCTTTGCTCGTGCGCGACACCTCTACGCATGCGCAGGACCTTCTGCGCATGCGTGTCAAAAACGGGATGTGATGATGTCTGGGGTGGGTGGGCGGAGCCTCCCGCAGCCTCCGCTACCGGTTTGCCCGAACCGGATAGAACCGGCTGAACACCACCACTGGGAGGAGGAATTGGAAGTGTTCCCCAGATAGGTGATACCTTAAGCTGACCCTTTGTCATTTGTTTCACCAAGTCACCATATGCAAAAGTGGCACGATGCACAGCAAAAAAAAAGAGAGAGAGAGAGAGGGGATGAACCCTTCACGCTACCTTCTCAAGCAAAGCTCACTCATGCAAGGGGAAGGGCAGGGGACCAGTGAAAGGGGTAGGTTCTCCTTCAAAGGCAGCTAATGGACCGAACACATCAACATCCAATATCCTGTGGCACGCATTCCTGCCAACTGGGAGCGTGACCCCGCTTTTCTTTGTCTTCTGACTGAAATTCATCGACTTCACGGATAGGTTTTGCGAGTTTTTGAGAAGCACGGAGAGAGCTGGGGAGCAGGCCTCCTAAGGCACAGAGCACAGATGCAGGGCAGTGGCAGGCAAGCAAGCAGAAGCTGCTCCCTACATAGGGAAAAGTCCAAAAAACAGAAGAAGAGCGGCTATCAGGGACCGAGTCTCATTGGACGTAGCCGAGATTCTCCATCTCGTTCTTATACCGCTGTTCGGAGACTTTGCTCTTGTGTTGCTTGCTCTCCAAATGCTGCCGGAATTCCACTTCTTCGCTGGCCCCGGCGTTGCACATGGAGCAGTAGAACTGGCCGCTGGGGGTGACACACATGGCGAGGTCACGAGGTATCCGCTGACGGGAACGTGGGTTGAAATAAGGGCCTGGAGGAAAGCAAGCAAGCGAGACATTTTTGAGATACAGCCAACCAGGAAGAATTTCCCAAGAAAGTGACATTAGATGTCAAGCCTGAATCTGACCGGGCTGTGGGGTTGTTTTTATCATGCGTTATTCTCACATGAATTCAGCTGGTTCCATCCTCAAAGCACATCAACAACTCACAAGAACCAGTACGTTGTCTTGAATACAGGCCAGAGATGATGTTCAGCTGGTTCGGACCGGTTCAGGCGAACTGGTAGCTCTAAAGATCAGTTGGCCCCGCCCACTTGCCCCCTCTCTATCCTGTCTTTATTTCCTGCTTTGTAGCTCATCTCAATCGTGCGATACAGCTGATTCCCTCCCCCCTCACTGTTCTACTTGCTGATTTGGAAGGTAAGCAGCTGAGTTTCTAAATGCTCCATTTTCAGCGCTGCGCACAAGCGCCTTAGGTGCACGCACACATGCAAAGCGCACGCTCACCAAACCGGTTGTTAAACCAGCAGCATTCCACCACTGATACAGGCAGTCCGTTTGTTACTTACAATGGTTTGGTAACCTTTTAAACCCGTGATGGCAAAGCTATGGCACACGTGCCATAGGTGGCACACATAGCCATATCAGTGGGCACGCGAGCTCAGCTCCGGCACGCATGCGCATGCTGGCCAGCTGATTTTCGGGCCTTCTGGGCCCACTGGAAGTTGGCAAACGGGCCGTTTCTGGCCTCCGGAGGGCCACTGGGGGTGTGTGGAAGGCCGTTTTCACCCTCCCCAGACTCCTAGAAAGGCTCTGGAGCCAGGTGAGAGAGAAAAACGAGCCTACTGGGCCATCACGTGCCAGGAGCGGGGGGAGGGGGTGGGGTCATGTGTGCATGCACGGGGGCAGGATGCATAGAATTATGTGTAACCCTCCCACCCCCACTCCTGGCACGCGATGGCAAAAAGGTTAGCCATCACTGTTTTAAACTTACAATAGCACTGGGGGGGAAATAACTTACAACCATTGCCGCATTCCTGGACTCACATGATCAACATTCAGCCACTTGGCAAGCAGCATGTATTTACAACAGTAGCATTGTCCGGAGGTCATGTGATCACCTTTTGCAACCTTCCGACAAGCAAAGTCAATGGGGAAGCCAGATTCATTTAACAACCGTGTTGCTAACTTAACAACTGCAATGATACACTTAACAACTGTGTCAAGAAAGGTGGTTAAAATGGGGCACAACTCACTTAACAGCTGTCTTGCTTAGCAACGGAAATTTTGCACTCGACTCTGCTCATAAATCAAAGACCAACCATATTAAGAAGACTTAAGCTATAGCACTAAGAGTGGGGAGAAAGTTGCACAACATGAGAGCTTTGGGTGGAAGAGCTCATGAGTTCCAGAGGAGCTCCAGGGAGTAGGATAAATGGACTTTTTGATATTCAGTTCTGCAACCTTTTTAAAAAAGAAAGGAACTAAGGCTGAAACATGGGTGTTTCCTTGGCTTAGAACAGGACTCTCCAAACTTGGCAGCTTTAAGATTTCTGGACTGCAACTCCCTGAATTCCTCAGCCAGAATGGCTGGCTGAGGAATTCTGAAAATTGAAATCCAAAAGTCTTAAAGTTGCCAAGTTTGGAGACCTCTGTCTTAGAGTTCTGCTTTTTAGTTTACTCTATTTAAGGAAAAAAAAAAAAACCCAAATCCCACCAAATTATTGTGGTATGGCTTGGAGGGATACCAAGGGCTCTTGCCACTTGACCGTACCTGTGTTATTTTGCACCGCATAAACATTCCTTCTGTTCTGCATCATCTTGAATTCATTCCCTTCTTTTCGCGCTTTCCTCTTGCTGGCCACTTCGGGTGACTCTCTATTATTGACGATACGAAAAACACAAATTAATTGCAGGGAAGTGAGGAAGATTTTACAGGCATCAGCAGGAAAAGTTAGCAGAACTTTTGGCTGGAGTGGTAGAATTCACATTTTTTTACTACTGGTTCTGTGGGCGTGGCTTGGTGGGGGTGGCTTGGTGGGCGTGGCAGGGGAAGGATCCCCACTCCTGGGGGAAGGATATTGCAAAATCTCCACTCCCACCCCACTCTGGGGCCAGCCAGAAGTGATATGTGCCGGTTCTCCAAACTACTCAAAATTTCCGCTACCGGTTCTCCAGAACCTGTCAGAACCTGCTGAATTTCACCCCCTGCTGTTACCGCTGGTGAGCGTTTTAATAATACCTACAAGAACGAGTTGTTCTGTGCCTCGGCCAGGCGCAGCCTCTTGGCGTGATTCTTGCCCTGGTAGTGAGCCTGAGCCACCGCTGGCGAAGAAAACGACGCATCACACAGTTTGCAATAATCGTTCTCCGTGGCCAAGATCACTCGCCCTCCAGGTTTCGGGGAGGACCCCTGGGCAAAACAGGAAAATAGATTCAAATATATCAAAGCAGTTATTTTTCTTTCCAAACAAAAGTTCTGAATGAGCCCTCTCCCAAAGCTGTCAATACAGTATCTTGGGTCCTCGTGTTACAGGTTTGATTTTGGTCATATTTGCCTACATGATTACATGCTAAGCGTCCTTAGATGTCTCCACCTTAATGAAATGCAGTGAGTGACAGCTGAAAGATACTTTCTTTTGCCCTTGCTCCCCAATCCTCAATTTTCTACAGAGAAACTCATTTAGTCTTTAAAGACTATTTTCATGTGTGAATTGAAGGCAAGGTTATAGGTCCAGATTTCTAGAGTGCAGAAATCCACCAATTGGAAAACCATCAGGGCTCTAAGAAGACTATTCCATTGTTTAACACCGGGGGGGGGGGGGGTCAAATTTTGGCAACTTTAAGAGCTGTGGACTTCAACTCCCAGAATTCCCCAGCCAGCTGGCTGGGGAATTCTGGGAGTTGAAGTCCACAGCTCTTAAAGTTGCCATGATTGGAGACCCCTGATTTAACAGCTCTTATCATCAGGAATCATCAGGAGCTCACCCTGCCACGCTGTGCTTGGGCTCAAACGATCGGAGCTAAGACCACTTCCAGAATCACGGAGTGACCACGGAGCCACTTTTTTTCCCTTAAGTTCCTCTATAGCTTTTAGCATATTGATTTCCAAACATCAAGATCACGATGTAACACAGGGGTGTCAAACTCAAGGCCCAGGGGCCAGATCTGGCCTGTGGGGTGCTTAGATCTGGCCCACGAGGCCTCCCTGGAAACAGCAAAGGACCGACCGGCAGAGCCTCTGCCAGTGAGAATGGAGCTAGGGAGGACTGTGTGTGGCCCTCTTGAGCTCCGTTTTCGGTGGCAGTGGGTTACAGGAGGCTGTCGCAGCCGATAACAGAGCTTGGGAGCCCATTTTTGCTGGCAGAGCGCTTGGGCCGCCACAGGCGCCCCCGATACAAGTGACGTTGAGATGGTCACACCTACCCCAGCCCCCCAAGGTCAAACACAACCCTGATGCGGCCCTCAATGAAATCGAGTTTGACACCCCTGATGTAACGCAATTCAGTGCATGATTGCATTGGCCTTTTTAAAGTCCCTGCAGCATTTTACACGTCGAACTCTCAGATCCTTTTTGAAAGCAATGCCCTCAAGCCAGGTCTTCTTATCCAGAAACAGGATCACATACTTGTGATAGATGACCATCATCTTGTTATATCTGACCCCACACGCAAGCCAGTCAAGGTCATTTTGAATTGTGATTTTATACTCTTCAATATTAGGCAATTCAACAAGCTTCGTGACATCTGCAAATGTGGCAAGCATCTGTTCCCCTCCATCTCAAGGTCATTTCTAACAAAGAATCTCCATTTGATATTTCCCTCCAGGATAATATAGAACTATTTACAAGTATCATCCAGATACAATTCTTCAACCGGCTGTAAATCCATCTCAAGCCAGTACTTTCTACTCCATATTTATTCAAACTTCTTAGGCCTTTTATTATTTCCTATTGTTCATTACCTTTATTTTCATTCGATATTTTTAAAGTTGGTACCATCGCCACATAAAAACATGTTTTAAGTAGTTAATCTTCTTTCTGGCTTTAAAGGATTACAATTGCATGTTACTGTTTTTGTAAATTACTCCCAAAATTCTGCGCTTCAGCAGCCTATCAACTTTAAAGCTTATCCTTAGTATATTTATATTCTACTTTCTTAGCAAATTCAACATTTTTCAATTTTCATTTTCTTATTCATCTGTCCAACAGTCTTTAGGCTGAGATATTGACTGGTTCACCATTACTAAGTACATTTTTGATGAGTCTCCTTTTTAAACTACTTTGTAAAATCATAGTATCATAGATGACTTTACTGGAAATTAATCCCAACACAGCACATTTGCTTTTATGAGAGTAAGTATTACAGAAAGACATTTTAGATTTTTAAAGCTGCTCCTTTTTTAATCTAAGAAGCTGCCTCCCCCCAGTGGCCAACCTTATGAATTTACGCTTGAATTGAGGGAATATAATTAATTCCCTTAATTAAGGGATCTGAACTACGCTGAAAGAGATATGAGAAAGGCAATTTTCTCTGTTTCTTCTAGAATACACAGGATCGTTTATTTTGTAGTTCCCAAATCCTTTCAGGCTTATGGATACGTCTGAATATGTCTTAGGGGTTGTATTCTCCACCTGGCAGCTAGAGCTGGGGTGTCAAACTCAAGGCCTGTGGGCCGAATCCGGCCTGTGAGGTGCTTAGATCTGGCCCGCAGGGCTGCCCTGGAAACAGCAAAGAATCAGCCCACGGTGCCTTTTCCAGAGAAATTGGAGCTCGGGTGGGCTGGGCTCCATTTTGGGCCATGACGGACTCCTGCAGCCCTCTGTCAGCGAAAACGGAGCTCGGGGAGGTCGTGCATGGCGCCCCCGAGCTCCATTTTCGCTGATAGAGGGCTGCAGGAAGCCATCGCGGCTGAAAACAGAGCCTCAACATGATGTCAAGCTGGCCATGCCCCCCCAGCCACGCATCCCCTGGCCACCCACCCCCGCCATGCTCCCTGAGCCTCCGGAGATCAAACACAACCCTGATGTGGCCCTCAATGAATTCGAGCTTGACGCCCCTGAGCTAGAGTGTCCTGCTTCTCAGAAAATAAATTGGTGAAGATGCCATTAAAGTAACTTGTACATGAATCTGAATATTAGATAGAGGCCAGGAACTAGTTATAAAATACATACCGTATTTTTCGGAGTATAAGACGCACCGGAGTATAAGATGCACCTACCTTTTTTGATAAGGAAAAGAAGAAAAAGAAATCTCCCTCTCCCTTAGCAATTTTGCCTTGTTGCAGCAAATAGCAAACAGCCTGCTTTACTTTCATTTTCGTTTTCAGCATAGCTTGATTAACACAAGGAAAAAAAAATCTACTTCAGCAATTTACCTCTTTGCAGCAAGCAGCAGAGGCCTGCGCAAAACAGCTGAGAGCAAATCAGCTGAGACTCGGGAGGCTGATCCAATCAACTTGTGCTAATTAGGCTGTGCTGAAGCTGAAAGGAGCTGTTTCTTCTTGCTGTTTGCTTGCAAGGAGGTAACTGCTGCGAGGCAGAGTCCAAAGGGTGGGCAGGGCTACATTTGGTGTATAAGACGCACCTAAATTTTCACCCCCCCTTTTAGGGGGGGAAAAGGTGCGTCTTATACTCCGAAAAATACGGTAACAATATGTTGAAAGGCCAAATACATAGGCAACATGAAATCTGGTCATCAAATGCCCTAATATTTATTTATTCCCATGATCCACACCAAAATGTCAGTTTTATACAGGTCGTCCCTCGACTTACAACCATAACTGAGCCCAACATTTCCATTGCTAAGTGAGATAGTTGTTAAATGAGTTCTGCCCCATTTTATGACCTTTCTTGCCACAGTTGTGAAGTGAAGAGCTGCAGCTGTTAAGTCAGTAAAATGGTTAAGTGAATTTGGCTTTCCGCCTTGACTTAGCTTGTCAGGTCGCAAAACATGACCCTAGGACAATGCAACCGTCATAAATATGAGCCAGTTGCCATGCATCCAAATGTTGCTCATACGACCACGGGGATTGCTGCAACAGTCATAAGTGTGAAAAACCGGTCATAAGTCACTTTTTTCAGTGCTGTCGTGACTTTGAATGTCACTAAACGAATGGTTATAAGTTGAGGACTATCTGTAACAGAGATAAATGGAGGTTGCTTAGAGAAATATGCATGCTTATTTTTATAGAACTCAAAGAAGTGGGGTGAGGAAAGAAACTTGATGGGAGACAAGGAATATCTGCAGACAGAGAGACTGATGATCTCTCACACTTGTTAGTCTTCTTCACATGACACATCTACTCGATCATGAGGAAGGAAGAAGCGCCTTGTTCAAATTCCAACCCTGAATTTATTCCACCCAGCCAATACATTTAAAGGAAGTCTCTGGATGACTGATAACTTGCGACAGCCAAGAAAACAAAGCGATGGATCATTGAACAAATCAACCCAGAGTTGTCACTCAAGGCACACATGCCCAGATTATTCTAGTTGTAAACATTATGCAAAGAGGAGAAGGCTGTATCGCAGGGAAAGGTGGAAGGCATGAGAAGAAGAGGACAGCCAGCAGAAAGGTGGATGGACTTAGCTACAGTCATGATAAGTACATCAGAGGTGGGTTTCATCAGGTTCTGACCAGTTCTGGAGAACCGGTAGCGGAAATTTTGAGTAGTTTGGAGAGCCGGTAGTAAAAATTCTGACTGGCCCCGCCCCCATCTATTCTCTGCCTCCCAAGTCCCAGCTGATCGGGAGGAAATGGGGATTTTGCAGTAACCTTCCCCTGGAGTGGGGTGGGAATGGAGATTTTACAGTATCCTTCCCCTGCCACTCCCACCAAGCCATGCCATGCCCACCAAGCCACGCCTACAGAACCGGTGGTAAAAAAATTTGAAACCGACTACAGAAGTACATCATTGGGAGATCTGAAAGAATAGGTTAGGGATAGATCGTCATGATGAAAAATCTATCTATGGGGTCCTAAGAGTTGAAAACAACTTGATGGCACCCAATCAATTAATCAATCAACAATCAGGATGAAGGCTATTGCTGAGCACATTGTAAGCCGCCCTGAGTCTTCGGAGAAGGGCGGCATATAAATCAAATTAAAAAAAAAAAAAAACTGACTGGAAAGGGGAACTGTTGGGTCATTCCTGTCATTGTTAACTCTGAAGTGAACCTGGCTGAAGCCATTTTGGAGGCTGTAGGATTGTCACAATGCGAAGATGAGATAAGAAGGGGGGGAACATAGATGGGGGTTTTGTTGCCAAAACGAAATAGTTTCCTGTGGGAGCCAAGGACATTCCAACAGGTGGCTGGAGAGGAGGAGTCCGGTTACCATGCAACCAGCTTGTCCACCTTGATTGGACAATGTGACTGATCGTTTGAGGAAAGGGGAACGTTCACTTTTTAATCAGGTGAAAACCGCAGGAACTGTCAGAGTCGGTTTTGTGCCAATATGATATCTCCAATAAAATTGTTCCTTGAGGAATATGCCTGCCTCCAGAGTTCTGCTTTCTATGGAATTATTACTTGGAACCATGACAGTCATACACACAGGGATCTTCTCAACTGTGGTCTCCACTTACGATCACAATTGAGCCCAAAATTTCTGCTGCTATACAAGGATGTTAAGAGAATTGTGTCTCATTTTATGACCAGAGTCATGGTCCATCAAATCAGTGTCAACTCTTTGCAAGCACAAAGAAAGAAACTGTGGTGGCACAGTGGTTTAGAAGGCAGTACTATACAGCTAACTCACAGCTCACTCCAGGAGTTCGATTCTGAATGGCTCAAGGTTGACTCAGGCTTCCATTCTTCCAAGGTCGGTAAAATGAGGACCCAGATTGTTGGGGGAAATAGGCTGACTCTGTAAACCGCTTAGAGAGGGCTGTGAAGCACTGTGAAGTGATATGTAAGTCTAAATGCTATTGCTAGATATGGACCATAAGAAAGGCTGAGCGCCAAAGAATTGAAGCCTTTGAACTATGGTGCTGGAGAAGACTCCTGCAAGTGCCTTGGATTGCAAGGCGATCAAACCGGTCAGTCCAAGAGGAGATCAATCCTGACTGCTCTTTAGAAGGCCAAGTCCTAAAGATGAAAGTCAAATAAGAGCCTTGATAGTACAGGGGTTTAGTGCACCCTGTAATTAACACCAGCTGTCTGCAATTACTGTAAGTTTGAATCTCACCAGGCTCAAGGTTGACTCAGCCTTCCATCCTTTCTAAGGTAGGTGAAATGAGGACCCAGTTTGTGGGGGCAATAAGCTGACTTTGTATAAAACATACAAAAGAATGAAGGCTATTGCTTAACGCATTGTAAGCCGCCCTGAGTCTCCGGAGAAGGGCGGCATATAAATCAAATTAAAAAAAAAAATAAAATACTTTGGCCACCTAATGAGAAAGAAGGACTCACTGGAAAAGAGCCTAATGCTGGGAAAGATTGAGGGCAAAAAAGAAGGGGATGACAGAGAACAAGGTGGCTGGATGGAGTCACTGAAGCAGTCGGCGTGACCTTAAATGGACTCCAGAGGATGGTAGAGGACAGGAAGTACTGGAGGAACGTTGTCCATGGGATCACAATGGATCGGACACGACTTTGCAACTAACAACAACAACAAATTGCTAGAAAGACCAGGATTATCTATTCTCAACCTCATCCTTCAGGTCTTCCTCTGCAGGTCATCCTCTTTCCACCTTTCCCAGCATTATAGACTTCTCAAGAGAACTAAATCTTCACATTATGGGTCCAAAATATAAACTTTATTTTTCTTTTGTACCGCATTTGTACATATTTGATTAAGATGGGCGACCACTGAAATTTGCAAATGGGTAGGCAGATGAACCACAATATATTTTCTCTTCTGGAAGAACACGCGCTTACTGGTTCATTAATATGACACTGCTATCTATATATCCTTACCTGGGGTGCAAGAGACACCATCGGATGAGTAGCTGGCTCAAGAGAGTTACTCACTCGGGCAGGAGCTGGGCAGCTGTTGGCAGCATAGTAGTTCCGAAGTTTCTTACTGTGGTTTTTACCCTGGAAAATCAAATTTCTGTTATTAGCCTAGCATAAAGTTTAGTTTAGTTTAGTTTTATTTGATTTGTATACCGCCCTACTCCCGAAGGACTCAGGGCGGTGAACAGCCACAGGATAAAAAACATAAATACAAATTTAAAACTGAATAAAATCGAATTAGACAACTTGGCCAAAGACAGATTTAAAACACCCCAATAAATTAAAAACGAATTAAAATTTACGTTTTAAAAAGGGAAAAAAGGGAAACAGTTAGGCCAGGCCAGCCTGATGGAATAAAAAGGCCTTGAGAGCACGGCGGAAGGTGCGTAGATCCGGGATCCTCCGTATCTCCAGGGGGAGCTCATTCCAGATAGTAGGTGCCCCCACAGAGAAGGCCCTCCCCCTGGGGGCCGCCAGTCGACATAAAAGTGCACCAAAGCCATCAGTGACCTACCACCATTCCTTCTTTAAGCCTTCATCGATACTAAGGGGTGGAATTAAATCTTCAGGGCTTCCCTTTCTGTTTTTTTCCATGGGGGTTCCATGAGGGGTAGATTTGGTGTTAGATTAAAGGGGGAAATTAGTGCTTTAAGTCTTGCAGGGGTTGAAGCAGTGGTGGAATTCAAATTTTTTTACTACTGGTTCTGTGGGCGTGACTTGGTGGATGTGGTGTGGCTTGGTGGGCGTGGCTTGGTGGGTGTGGCAGGGGAAGGATACTGCAAAATCTCCATTCCTACCCCACTCCAGGAGGAAGGATATTGCAAAATCCCCATTCCCTCCCTACTCTGGGGCCAGCCAGAAGTGGTATTTGCCGGTTCTCCGAACTACTCAAAATTTCCGCTACTGGTTCTCCAGAACCTGTCAGAACCTGCTGAATAGCACCCCTGGGTTGAAGGACCCTTTCTACCCCCTAGAATGCCTGAAACAGCTCCCTACCAAAGAGTTTTGAACACATACACATAGGAGTAGAGTCCCAATGGGCCATTCAGTCTAAAATAGCTCTTGAACAGAGAGAGAAGCTGGTTGCTCCTTCCTGTACTAGGAAGCAGGTCTTTGCAATCAGATTAGGAAGGCGAAAAAAAAACCCAGCATAATTTCAAAAGGTGATTTTTACCTCTATTTTAGAACAGGTATAAACTCCCTAATGGAGGACCTGTAGTCCTCCCCAAGGACTACAGATACAGGTAGTCCTTGACTTACAACCATTCATTTAGTGACCATTTGAAGTTACAACAGCGCTGGAAAAAGCTACTTATGACTGGATTTTACACTTACAACCGTGGCAGTGTCCCCGTGGCCACCTGATCAAAATTTGGAGGCTTGGCAACTGGCATGTATTTATGACGGTTGCACTGTCCAGGGGGGGTCATGTGATTTACCATTTGTAACCTTCTCAGCTGGCGTCTGGCCAGAAAAATCAACGGAGGAAGCCAGATTCGCTTCAACGACCATGTGCTCCACTTAACAACTGCAGTGATTCACTTTAATAACTGTGACGAAAAGGTTGTAAAATAAAGTGCAACACGCTTAAAACTGCCTCGTTTAGCAGCAGAAATATGGAGCTCCACTGTGGTCATAAATCGAGGACTACCTGTACATAAAATGGGGCCCCGTTATGTTTCCGGGGAAGACGAGTTTATTTCACAATGTAAGACAAGCAAGGGTGGGATACTGATGAAGGCCTGCACGAGGGGAGAGCCTGTTTCAAATCTATCCCCACAACGGCCAGGGAAGCTCTCTGAATGACTTTACCACAGTCCCTCAGCCCATGAGGCAGTGTGGTTTAGTGGTTAAAGTGTGGGCCTAAGACCTGCCCTCAGTCACAGGTGAAAAATCATGAAATGAATAAATAATGAAAAAAAACACATAATGAGAAAAGATTTAGGGCCAATTATATCGGGGTCTCCAACCTCTGGGCCGCGGCCTACTAATAGGCCGCGAGGTGTTTGCAACTAGGCCGCAGAAACAACTTGCGAGAGCAGTGGGCGAGCATATCCGTGCATGCTCCATTTGCAGGAGGGGTGCACACGCATGCACACTGTTCACACAAATGGAGCTGTGCATGTGTGCTTCCCGGCTGCTCACACGGAACCATCCCCTCTCCCCACCCCGCCCCGCTGGTCTGCAAAGTTGGAAAAGGTCGAGGAACTTTGAATTACATGGACAAAGTTGAATTAATTATAGAATGCATAGCCATTAAATGGGGGGGATGGGAAGTAGACAAATTCACCTGGGGGGGAGGGGGAAGGAGGAATCAGACTGTTGGCCTTAATGGATACATACTAGGATTATAAATGGTATAGAACCGTGATGGCACAGGTAGCACGCGAGCCGTTACCCCAGCCCAGCTCCGCCATGTACCTCCTGCCAGCCAGCTGGTTTTTGGATCTCTGCCGCACATGCGTGGAGGGCGGGGTGCATGCAGGAGACTCACGTGCATGAATGGGGGGTGGGGCACATGCAGGAGACTCATGTGCATGCGTCGGGGTGGGGCGCATGCAGGAGACTCACGTGCATGTGTGGGAGGGCGCACGTGGGAAGGTCATGCATGCATGCGTGGGGCTGCGCGTGCATGCGTGTGGGTATTCAGGGGCACGCATACATGCGTGGGGGTGTGGGACGTACACAGAGGTCATGCATGCATGCATGGGGTGGGGCACGTGGGAATTGCGCACGAATTGCATTATGGGTCCACACGCGCATGGACACTTTCGGCACTCAATGCCAAAAAGGTTAGCCATCACTGGTATAGAATATGGGCATTATAGTACATTTATTTATTTGTTTATTTATTTAATTTGTATACCGCCCTTCTCCAACAGGACTCAGGGCAGCGAACAGCCACGGTAAAACACAACATATAAAATTTAAAAGCAATTTAAAAGACATTAAATAATTTTGACCATCAATTTAAACAACCCAGTTTAAACCAATTACAAATTCAAACCGAAAGGATGGGATCAAGCCAGCCCAGCTAGATGAAATAGATGTGTTTTCAGGGCCCGACGAAAAGTCCGGAGGTCTGGTATCATGCATATCTCTGGGGGTAGGTCGTTCCAGAGGGCAGGTGCCGCCACAGAGAAGGGTCTCCCCCTGGGGGTCACCAGCCGACATTGTCTGGCCGACGGCACCCTGAGGAGGCCCTCTCTGTGCGAGCGAACTGGCCGGTGGGAGGCTATTGGCGGCAGAAGGCGGTCTCGTAAATACATGAACGTGTTCTGTCTTACAATCAAAGTAAGCTTTTATCCTGAATATCATTTTGTACGAATATCCTGTCCTTTTTACGAGATTACTGGACTTCTATGCTGATCACTATATAATTTTAAAAATTAGGTAGAATTCAAGCCTCCAATTTTTACTTCATTCGGTCCATTATTATTCTTTCCCTATGTTGGTCATGATCCATTCCAACTAGTTATACCTTGTTATAAATCATAAGCCACAATCACAGGAAAAAACAGTTTAAAAAAAAAAAAGAAGAAGAAGATGCTTCATTTATAATCTCTATATTGCACACTTATGGCAAAGGTATCGTGTGAACCATGACTCCCGATTATAGGTAGTGCTCGACTTATGACCACAATCGAGCCCAGCGTTTCTGTTGCTAATTGAAACATTGGTTAAGTGAGTTTGCCCCCGTTTTATGACCTTTCATACCACCGCTGTTAAGTGAATCGCTGCAGTTGCTAAATTAGTCAAACTAATTTTTGCTTGTCAAAAGGTCGCAAAAGGGGATCACATGACTCCGGGACTCTGCAACTGTCATAAATATGAGTCCATTGCCAAGCATCTGAATTTTAATCACGCGACCATGGGGATGCTACAGGGGCCGTAAGTAAGAAAACTGGGGTTTATTTTCAGTGCCGCTTTAACTTCGAACGGTCACTAAATGAACTGTTGTAAGTCGAGGACTACCTGTATATATCACCTTGGAAAACAAGGGGCAACTTTTTGGGCTGTGAAACTCAACTCAACACCGAAAGAGTCACACGGCGGTTTGGAGGTGCAGGCATGGTATCCTCACCTGGTAGTGGGCCTGGGCTTGTTGGGCAGAGTTCAGGGTGACGTTGCAAAGCCTACAGCACAATGGCTTGCAGAGTTCCTCCAGCAAGGGGTCTTGCTCCCCCCTCGTGGCGAGTTCCTCATCTTGTGCAAGTGGCAAGGATGGCCCCGGTCCCAGTGGTTTCGGTGGAGAAAGTCGCAAGGTGGCTGTAGGCCTGGTGGCCACTGACATAGGAAGAGATGGGGGCGTTTCAGGAAGAGGAAGAGGAGGGAACCCAGCGCGCTGCAAAAGAATCATTGGCTGACAGAGCTTCTAGCATTCTTTCTTCGGAACCCAAAGGCGGCTTCGGATCGCGACTGAAAAGCAAGGAGAAAATTCAAGTCAAACAACGAACGTCAAAATTGGGTTGGGTTGGATTGGCAGGGCAAGATTTGGTTCAACTCATTCAACAGTATTCCACCTGCTAAGGATTTTTTTTATAAAGTCTCTTAAGTCACAATTGGCTTGAAAAATTGAACAGCCCTCTCTCAATAGAGGGGGAGGGATACAACATCATCTATCGCCAGTCTACAACACAGTCCTTTCAACAGTTCCAAGAAGGCTCCACACACATTTGCACTACTCAGGTGACCCTGAAGACACAGACAAACCTCCAAGTGGCCTCAACGACTCTCTAAAACAGAGGTCGGCAACCAGCGACTCTGGAGCCGCATGTGGCTCTTTCATCCCTCTGCTGCGGCTCTCTGTCGCCACAATTTTCAGAGGTGCTTCCGGTTGGGGGTGGGAAGCATGGTGCGCCAGGAGGAGACTCTATGGCAAGGGGCGGGTTTTGCAGTTGGCTCCACAATTGATAGGGCTTTCAGTTAGGACAAGTAGAAGAAAACGGATGCCGCGCTAGGAGGAGACTCTATGGTAGGGAAACCAGACTTCTAGTCGGCTCCGGAATTGAACGGGGGACTTCCGGTTAGGCCCTTTGTGGCTCTTTGAGTGTTTAAGGTTACCGACCCCTGTTCTAAAAGAATGCAAATGACTAGCTGTCTGCAAGGAGTGTAAATCCTTCCATTCCCCAACATCCAGTCAGAGCTGAAAAAGCTTCTTGGATGAGAAGCTAGATGACCTACAAGGTCCCTTCCAACTGTGTTAATTCCCTCAACACTGTCAAACTATTCACTAAGTCTGCATTACTATTGCTATTAATCTTCTCATCGTTCCTATCACCCATCTCCTCCCACTTATGACTGTATGACTGCAACTTGTTGCTACATCCTTAGGATTTATATTGTTTCCTAGTATGATTTGATTGCTTATTTGTACCCTATGACTATCATTAAGTGTTGTACCTTATGATTCTTGACGAAAGTATCTTTTCTTTTTATGTACACTGAGAGCATATGCACCGGAGATAAATTCCTTGTGTGTCCAATTACACTTAGCCAATAAAGAATTCTATCCTTAATCTGATCTGATGAATAAGAAGCGAAACATCTTCAAAGAAAAATTAGAAAGTCCAGTTGCCTCTTGAAAAAAAGCACCTTTGGGTCACAATTGGCTTAATAATAAACTGGTTTGCAGTCCACACTACGTTCACATAACAGGCAATGCCAAAGGCCAGAAAATCAAATTTTAGCCTACTGAAGATGTGCAAAATGTGAGATTCTTTCCTCCAGCTGATGTCGGTTTGGAGCCAGGCTTGGTGAGGCAATCAACAGCTCCATGTCCCTCCTTCCCACATCTGAAGCAGGGGTGAAATGCTCCCGGTTCAGACCGGATCACCCGATCCGGTAGCAATGGCAGCAGGTGGTTCGGAGAACTGGTAGCAAAAATCCCACCCCCGCACCCATGCCCAGCTGAGCCACGCAATCATCAGAGGCTTTTTTTTTATTTTTAAAAGCATTTTTTCTACAACCTCTTCAGCCGAAAAAATGCTTTTAAAAGTTTTTTTAAAAAAAGCCTCTGATGATTGCGCGGCTCAGCTGGGATCGGCAGACCCTTTTAAAAGCATTTTTTCTACAACCTCGGCCGAAGAGGTTGTAGAAAAAATGCTTTTAAAAGCCTCTGATGAACCCAGCTGAGTTGCCTGATCGGCAGAGTCTTTTAAAAGCATTTTTTTACAAATGGAAAAAATGGTTTTAAAAATTAAAAAAAAAAAAAGTTGGCCACGTCCACCCAGTCACATTACACCCCCCCCCCCCAACCAAGCTACACCCACAGAACCGGTAGTAACAAATTTTACATTTCACCACTGATCTGAAGCATGCCATGGACCTGGGTTTGGCTGCTGGCCCACCTTCGGTAGCTCTAGGGGCCTCTTTCAGGGTAGAAGGGGAAGACTTGTTCCAGGTGCGGCCCCCACAGTGCCACTCTCTGGCCAGGTCAATTTCCACCTCCGCTGCCAACACATACCAGCGCTGAAGGTCTCGGGGGAGGGAGGGGGGGCTTCGGAGCTATATGAGATGGACCAGCATTCCTTCCATAATTCTGCCCCCTACAGGGGAGAGAGTAGGACCCAAAATTTGGAGTATTAGGGTACTTTGTGGGATTTGGGGAGCTATAAAGGTCAAAATGATTGACCTGCTGAACAACTCCCCAAATCTGCTTCCAAAGTGGGGATATAACCTCAGAGGACTTTGGAGTGTAGCCCTTGACATGTTACCAGTAGCCTGGTGTGATCCTCAATGTCTCTGGTTTAGCATAGGATACGGGTAGCCCTTACAACCGCAATTGAGCTCAAAATTTATGTTGTTAAGTGAGGTGGTTGTTAAGTGACTTCTGTCCCATTTTACGACCTTTGTTGCCACAGTTCGGAACATGGTTGAATCTGATTTCCCCTTTGAAATCAAAGTGAATCTGATTTCCCCATTGACTTTGCTTGTCAGAAAGTCTCAGAAAGTGATCCGGGTTACTAACTTATCAACTGCAGTGATTCACTTAACAACTGAGACAAGAAAGGTCGTAAAACGGGGCAAAATTCACTTAACTAATGTCTCACTTAACAACAGAAATTTTGGGCTCAATTATGGTCGTAACTCGAGGACTAACTGTATCGTGGATTGCTATCACTTCAGGAGGAAGATTCAGGTATCTTCTGGCATTCTATGCAAACCTTGCCAAGGAACACACTTGTAGCTTAGACAACACTATTTTCATTTGTCTACACTTATTTCCTATTATTATTATATTCTCCCTGTTCTCCCCAAAAATTGAAGTCAGCATGTTAGGCACTCTAAGTGATGTGTGCATATACAAGACGGGCAGGATATAATTTTTGCTAGATGCAATGCACACACACACCCAGAGACACACACAAAAACACAAAACTGAACTCAGAGAATCGCATTTCTGCTTTCTACTTTTAAGCGAAGGGAGGAAACAACTCTGCAAAATAAGTTGAGAAATGGACTTAATGAAGGTCAAATAGTGAAATTCATTGCTTAGGGGGGACCTGACTAAAATCCAATCTTTTAAACGCTTCACTATTAAGGTGATTGATTTGACTGAACTGAAATTTGCTTTTGATCTGCAAATACATTTCCTAATTCTTCTTCTCCCAAAGAAAGGAAAGAAAGAAGTAAGCCCTGTTCAGCAATATTTCTTTCACGTAACCCCATCTGAAGGATCTTTCACATTCAAATCCACCCCATCTGAACAGTAACAGTAGAGTTGGAAGGGACCTTGGAGGTCATTTAGTCCAACCCCCTGCCCACGAAGGAGACCTGTACTAGGGATTCGACAAGTTCAGACAGTTCAAAGAGAAAAATTCATAAAACAAAATAAACACGAGACCTTCCTAAAAATGCCTGCAGATGGACAATTGGTGTATGGGAAGTGGGAACTCATCCTTAAATTTAGACAAGGGTGCTCAGATGTTCCAGCAGTCCCAAAGGCGTTTTTTTTTTTTGGTTCCAAAAGGCAACTGGACTTTTCTTTGTGTTTTTTTTTCTTTGAAAACGTCTCGCTTTTCATCTGCCTTTCATTTTCATTTTTTTTCATTTTATTTAATTTGTATACCGCCCTACTCCCGAAGGACTCAGGGCGGTGAACAGGCACAGAATAAAACACGTAAAATACAATAATTAAGAACAGAAGTAAAATCAAATTAAATCAATTTAGCCCAAGACAAATTTAAAACCCCAGGTTAAGAACAAATTAAAATTTACATTAAAATTTACATTAAAAAAGAATGGGAAAGGTTAGGCTAGACCAGCCTGGTGAAATAAAAAGGTCTTGAAAGCGCGGCGGAAAGTGCGTAGATCCGGGATCCTCCGTATCTCCGGGGGGAGCTCGTTCCAGATAGTAGGTGCCTTGAACTGAAGAAGCAAAAACATTTTCAAAAAAATAAAAAATAAGGAAGTCCAGTTGCCTTTTGGAAAAAGCACCTTTGGGACAACCATGACCTGGATGATTGCGACTCCCTAGACATTCAGAGATTCAGAACAGGGCACCTGTTGTTCATGAGGCACCTTAACAAGAACACATGTGCGTTCTATACTATGTTGTTGTGACTTTTTTCCTGGAGAAGTATTACTGCCATTGCACTGGTCTCGGTGTCCAGGTTTTGCAATGCTTCATTACGGCAAATAAAAGTGAATGGTCAGGAGAGATCTTCCCACAGCGGCCTCAATAAAGACATACATAATTGAGAAACTGGACAGATTTTCCAGAAAGAACAAACAAGCTTCATTCAGCAGTTGAAAGGTAGAGCAACTCATCTAGGGATAAAAGCCAATACAGTTCTAGGCTGCGTAAACAGAGGGATAGAATCAAGATCACGTGAAGTCTTAATGCCACTTTATAATGCCTTGGTAAGGTCACACTTGGAATACTGCATCCAGTTTTGGTCGTCACGATGTAAAAAAGATGTAGAGACTCTAGAAAGAGTGCAGAGAAGAGCAACTAAGATGATTAGGGGACTGGAGGCTAAAACATATGAAGAACGGTTGCAGGAACTGGGTATGTCTAGTTTATTGAAATGAAAGAGTAGGGGTGACATGATAGCAGTGTTCCAATATCTTAGGGGCTGCCACAAAGAAGAGGGAGTCAAGCTATTCTCCAAAGCACCTGAGGGCAGGACAAGAAGCAATGGGTGGAAACTAATCAAGGAGAGAAGCAACCTAGAACTAAGGAGAAATTTCCTGACAGTTAGAACACTTAATCAGTGGAACAACTTGCCTGCAGAAATTGTGAATGCTCCAACACTGGAAGTTTTTAAGAAGATGTTGGATAACCATTTGCCTGAAGTGGCGTAGGGTTTCCTGCCTAAGCAGGGGGTTGGACTAGAAGACCTCCAAGGTCCCTTCCAACTCTGTTATTCTATTCTCTCTCTGGTGCTGGATCCCAGGTTCATGAAATGGAAAGG